CGTATAGTTGGGGTTATTTTTCCCGATGTGCATTACTTTACACTTATCCACATTAAATTTCATTTGCCATTTTGTTGCCCAATCACTCAGTTTGGTGAGATCTTCTTGGAGTCCCTCACAGTCTGCTTCTGTCTTGACTATCCTAAACAGTTTGGTATCATCTGCAAACTTTACTACCTCACTGCTTACCCCTTTCTCCAGATCATTTATGAATAAGTTGAAAAGGATTGGTCCCAGGACTGACCCTTGGGGTACACCACTAGTTACCCCTCTCCAATCTGAAAATTTACCATTTATTCCTACCCTTTGTTTCCTGTCTTTTAACCAGTTCTCAATCCAAGAAAGGACCTTCCCTCTTATCCCATGGCCATGTAATTTACACAAGAGCCTTTGGTGAGGGACCTTGTCAAAGGCTTTCTGAAAATCCAAGTATACTATATCTACTGGATCCCCCTTGTCCGCATGTTTGTTAACCCCTTCAAAGAACTCTAATAGATTAGTAAGACAGGATTTCCCTTTACAGAAACCATGTTGACTTTTGTCCAACAAATTATGTTCTTCTACATGCTTCACAATTTTATTCTTTACTATTGTTTCGACTAATTTGCCCGGTACTGAAGTTAGACTTACCGGTCTGTAATTGCCAGGATCGCCCCTTTTTAAATATTGGTGTCACGTTGGCTACCTTCCAGTCATTAGGTACAGAAGCCGATTTAAAGGATAGGTTACAAACCACAGATAATAGCTCAGCAATTTCCCGTCTAGACTGGCCACAAATTCCGGAAAAGGGATGCAAATCAGGTAAGTCAGCATAGGGAAATCCGCGGGGGATTTAAATATCCCCTGCGGATTTAGATAAACATGTCCGCCGCTTTTTTTCCGGCTTGGGGAAAAGCCGGAAAAAAAGCATCTAGACTGGCGCGATCCTCCGGAATAAAGCCCTTTTCCGGAGGATCTCTTATTCCTACTTTCAAGTCTAGACGTTTTTTTTCCGGCTTTTCCCCAAGCCAGAAAAAAAGCGGCGGACATGTTTATTTAAATCTGCGGGGGATATTTAAATCCCCCGCGGATTTCCCTATGCTGACTTACCTGATTTGCATCCCTTTTCCGGAATTTGTGGTCAGTCTAGACATAAAAAACATTTTATTTCTTTTTGAGTTTTTGGCTAGCTGTTCCTCAAAATCTTTTTTTGCTTTTCTTATTACATGTTTACACTTGATTTGACAGTGTTTCTGTTCCTTTCTATTTATCTCACTAGGATTGGACTTCCACTTCTTAAAAGATACCTTTTTGTCCCTCACTGTTTCTTTTACATGGTGGTTAAGCCACGGTGACTCTTTTTTAGGTCTCTTGCTATGTTTTTTAATTTGGGGTATACATTTAAGTTGGGTCTCTATTATGGTGTCTTTAAAAAGTTTCCATGCAGCTTTCAGGGATTTGGCTCTAGTCACTGTGCCTTTTAATTTCTGTTTAACTATCCTCCTCATTTTTGTGTAATTCCCCTTTTTGAAATTAAATGCCAGGGTGCTGGACTGCTGAGGTGTTCTTCCCACCACAGGAATGTTGAATGTTATTATATTATGGTCACTATTCCCAAGCGGTCCTGTAACGGTTATATCCTGGACGTGATCCTGCACTCCACTCAGGACTAAATCGAGAATTGCCTCTCCCCTTGTGGGTTCCTGCACTAGCTGCTCCAAGAAGCAGTCATTTAAGCCATTGAGAAATTTTATCTCTGGTTCTCTTCCTGAGGTGACATGTATCCAGTCAATATGGGGGTAATTAAAATCCCCCATTATTATAGAGTTCTTTATTTTGGTAGCCTCTCTAATCTCCCTCAGCATTTCTATGTCAGTATCGCTGTCCTGGTCAGGTGGTCGGTAATATATCCCTACTGCTAATTTCTTATTATTGGAGCATGGAATTTCTATCCATAGCGATTCTATGGAACATGTTGATTCACTTAATATTTTTATTTCATTTGATTCTACATTATCTTTCACATACAGTGCCACTCCGCCATCCACCCGGCCTGCTCTATCCTTTCTATATATTTTATATCCCGTGTGTTTTCTCCCTTTTGTCTTTTCAAAAGGAAGATAATTCCTAATAGGAATACTAGGGTCTTGTTTTTGTTTAACATTCATTCCCTGTAGCTTTGATGTTCTTGAACTCCTAATATATATTGCTGTAAGGGATTTACTAACAATGGTGTAGTTTATGGACATTTTTGCAGAAAACCTCTCAGATCAATGGGGATTTACAACATTATATATCATATCCATGAACCATAAAAATCATAATGAGACCTCTCAGTGGGTTCAGAATAACCATTACTGACAGGGTCCACTTCTAGCCTAATATTTTGTATTTATGCATTTCTATGATAGTACTGTATGGAAATAAGTGGTCTGTAAACTAAGTGGTCAGGAGGCATATGTTGGCTATAATGAGGTATCTTGGGTCTGGTACTAAATAGTTAAATCTCTTCTTCCTTTGATGCATGAGGGTGATACACATTAAGGGGGTGACTACATTGCAGGGCAAAAGTCGAATTAAGATATGTAACTTCAGCTATGTCAATTGCATAGCTGAAGTCAAAATAGCTTAATTCGGCTTTTGGCGCTGTCTATACAGCAAGAAGTCAAAGGAAGAACACTCTTCCTTCGGCTTCCCTTCTCAAGAAATGAAGGTTACCATAAGTCTGAGTAAGAAGTCCTCCATTTCAAAATTATTTTGAAATAACTGCTTGCTGTGTAGATGTGCCCTATCAGAAGTTACAGGGGGTACCATTAAAACATAGCTAGTGATTAAACCATACTACTTACCTTTTGTCTTGTAATTCCTAGTATTCTCTAATTTCAGTAGGAAATACCACAGGCATTTCAGTAAACCTGGTTAATAGCGGGTGGTTAATAATCCATCCCTCCTAATTTCTGTGGCCTGGTCTACACTACGGGGTAAGTTTAAATTAAGATACGCAACTTCAGCTACGTTACTTTGACTGAAGCTACGCAATTACCCTAACTTGAATTTTGGTGCTATCCACACTGCAGGAAGTCAATGGGAGTACACTATCACTTCATCTTCCCTTGCTCCTCATAGAAGCATAACTACCAGTATCACTGGGAGCCCTCTCAGTTCAAATTAGTGTGTCTTTAGTAGACTCGCTGATTCAAACCCCAGGAGATCGGCTGCTTCGATCTTACCTGTAGGGTAGACTTGCCCTGTATCTGACATGGAACTTGTTTTTAAGGGGCTGTGAAGATCCTTGGGGGTTTTTGTTTTCTATTTTTTCTTTATCTGGCAAAATGGGCTCTCATCCATGGTATCTCTTGAAATTCACATAGGGTCAGCCTATATGTCTTGATTAATTTCATAACCCACTGCTGCTTTAAGGGTGTGGCTTAACCTGATCCATGTGAAGATGATTTCTCAGTATTGAGACTGGTCTTCTCTTTGGTGCCTATATAGTACTTAGCCTAATCGTGATGGATGAAGGCCTCTCTGCATGACTAATATAAATGGTCTGGTAGCACTTTACAGACAAAACATGTAGATGATGTCAGAGCTTTCGAAGTGTGTTGTGCCCATGAAAGCTCATGATGCCATCTACATGTTTTGTTAGTCTATACAGGAGAAACTTAAGACAACAAATGGTCTGGTAGCACTTTGTAGACTAACTTGGCTACCCCCTGAAGATTCTGTAATGTATATGTTAAGTGATACTGAGTCAGTGCAGGAAGCAAACTAAGGTAGAGCTCTTCTGACACAGGAAGGCAGTTAAGGATTTTTTCTTTATAATACTCATACAAAACCGTATATCTCAAATCAGCTGCCTTCTGTGTGGAGCTGAAATTTGTGTCCACATACCAATTCCAGTCTGCAATCTTGCTAACCAAAAGAGCATGAATGATTCCCATCACTTCTCTGTGTGTTTGGGCGGTTCTATTTTAGGATAATGATTCTTTCTCATTTTCAGGTTCTTCTATTCAGATAGATAGACATTATGTCTGTTTATAAACGTTCATTATGAAACCTAGATCGCTATCTAGTATCTAAGAAGCTCGCTGAGGCCAACAGGATCCAGAACTTTATAACTCATGTGTTTTAAATAAATCTGATATCACACTGCTGCCAGGAGATACTAGATGCAGCTTTTGTGATCTCCAAAGCAATTACTTCATTTTTAATATAGCATTTGGATACTGAAAAGTAAGTAATTCTATATGTCTCGGAGACCCAGAAAAAGAAAGGGAATGCTTAAAATAGCTTTGGCTGCGAGGAAGAGAACCTTAGGAAAAGTGATGGAATAAGGGCCCCAGTAAACACAGTTTAGAACCTTGCAGGGTCTCCAACATCTGTTCACCTGGCACTATAAATCCTCCTTTTTAACTGGAATAAAGCAAAATGTATCTTCACACTAGGGGTACCACATAGCCTTACACTCAACTAAGTATTTGTGTTTCTAGGAGGACATGGTCTTAGAGTTTTGGAAATTTGGTAACAAGTGGTTCTTGTCCTACATGCCTAGACATCTGTGTCAAATCTCTATTGTGAATATCACTTTATTTTATTATTCTTTAAGCCTGCCATCACTATCAAGTTACAGGGAAAAATGCGCTGGATTTCCCCTTCTGCATTTGGGCTGCTGGTGGCTGTGGGTGTAGTGTATATCTACACTAGCCTCCTAGATTGATCTAGGGAAGCTAATGAGGGTGACCGAAATTGCAAATCAAGCACGGGATTTAAATATCTCGCACTTGATTTGCATGTTCCCGGCCAGTCACCATTTTAGAAATTGAGTAGCCCGAAGTAATTGCCCACATCTACATGCGGCAGTGAAACAGGATTCCAAATTAAAGCCTTAAATTGAACTAGCTGGTATTCCTCCTGCAATGAGATTTACCAGCTAATTCTATTTAGGACTTTAATTCGGAATCCCGTGCTTGATTTGCAATTTCGGTCACCCTCATTAGCCTCCCTAGATCAATCTAGGAGGCTAGAGTAGACATACCCACATACTGGAAACTGCAGCTAATGGCTGAAATTGGCTTAGCAAAATGTTTTCATACTCCTTCCGCTGGTGTTAGAAATTTAGGCTGGTTCCTGAGTTTTGTGTGAAGCACAGGTGGGAGTGGGGAATTTGTGGTGTGCTTTGTGGCATGCTTTAATGTTGCTTTTTATATTTTTTTTTCCTTACATCCGGCAGTAGAGAATGCAGCATGACAACTCTCTCAGTGCTATCTCCTCTAATTGAAAAGATGAACTGAACCTGTTACTAGCCATATAAATAATTTCTTTCTGGCTTCTCTCCAAACAAAACAAAGAGGCAAATCCAGTAAGGGTTGTGTTTTTAATGTTTATTAGGTGTTTAAATAAACTTCACATAGCAAAGAATTGTATTACACCAAGATAAGGAATATTATTGCCATTCTTTTCACTCAGGCTCCCATTTGTAACAGATGTCATGGTGCTTTTGCTGAGAAGACATATAGCAGTCATCTCACTGCATTTGCAATGTTGCAGCGCAAGATGAGGTTTTTATGTTTTTGTTTTTTAAAGAGGCATCTTCAAACATCCCTCCTCCTGTGCTTAAAGTCCTCAGGTGTGCATATAAGGAGGTGTTTGTTAATATCTAGTTAGTAAGATTAATGGCAGCATGCTCTGCCTTGATGTTGTAACGAATTCCATGGAAGAGTGATTGTTATCTTGACCATCTGAGTCAAACCAGTTGAAAACAAAAAACAAAAAAATCCTGAAGATGTTAGTTTTTTTGATCAGAGACCTTTCATATATGAAAGAATTGTGCTTTCAGTGCTGCTTTCTGAGCTAATATTCCTCTTGGCGGTGTCTGCAAAAAGTGGGGCCACAGTTGCATTCATTGTTCAGTGAGCTTGTCCACAGAGTTAAACCCACCGACAGCAATGAATGTTGATTGTGACCTTTTTAGAATAGCTTGACAAAAAGGATTTGGGAGAGGAGGGGGAAAGATACCTTGTGTGCTGGTTTGGTAGCTGTCTTCAGTGAAAGGCCTGAGAGCATGAAGCAAGGAAGAAGATGGTTAGCTGGAGGGTACAATCAACGGTCGATGGTTTTCACTTTAATTCCAAACTCACCGACAGCGTTGAATGTTCACTGAAGCAACCAATAAAACCAGAACTTCACTGACTTGACAGTGTCCTTAAATATCTGAAAGGGGGGGAAAAAATCAAAACTGACACAATGGTTTTAATCATGCAGATTATACAGTTTGTCACTGTTCCCTTACCACCACCACCACCCACCCTCCTTGCCCTATTCTGTTACAATTCATCAGCCAGGAACTGGCAACCCTCCAGGCTTTGATCCTATGAAAAGAACAAGTCTGTTTCACTTTCTGAAAAGTTTTATTTATCTAGCTTGGAAATCTAGACAGAAGCGATTTAGTGTTGTCAGTCAAACCATGGAGATAAATGCTAAATCAGATCAAAGTATTCAGTTCCATATTTCTGCACAACTGGGTTAAAAACACAATGAACCAGCAACGTTACTGGCCAGTAGACTGCCCAGTCCTGGTAAAGTAAACAGATTCAGGATTGACTGAATTCAGAAAAAGTTGTGGCATATCAAATGTTTTAATAAGTTTGTTTCTCAATGAGCTTCGGTGAGGGTGAGGGTGGGGGGGGGGGAGGGTAGAACCACTTTATTCTCTCTGTAAATTGCCATACATACTAGGAACACTATATTAAATAATTGTCTGCTCTAAAAGGAACATCTTGTTTCTTCAAATATTCCTGTAGCAATCACATGGTTAGTGTAATTTACAAAGTCCCTCTCCATGCCTATCCACCACACACGTCTGCCTAAGCTAAGAGGTTAATTGAAATTCCAATATACTAGTTTGGAAGTAATCAAATTGCAGTATGATGCAGAGTTAGACTTTCTTGAAACGTATGTTTTGGTTTGTCCTCTGTTATGAAAGTTTAACATGAGAGTAAGTGGTGAATTTATCCGGGTCATTCTAACCTCAAGATTCCTTCATGGAGTGTGGTGCGCTGTGGGTGGTAGGTTTCTTTTTAAGTGTAGTCTCTATATCAAAGACTTGATTATCACTCTTAGTGAAGTGCTCATTCTGATAAGGCTCTAGCAATAATGGAAGTTGTTTGCCTTTCTTCTAAACCTTGACAGTTCACTTAGATTTGTATATTCTATCAAAACTGGCTTTTCAGGTGTATATAGTATTGCAACTTGTGTGTAAAACAACAAAAGTTTGTCTTCCTTGTCTACTAATTGGAAGGGTCTGGGAAGTGAAAAGACAAGAGTATGATTCAGAGATACTTATCTACCTTGCTTCCTATTTGCACTGGCAAGCAGATTTAGTCTACACAAGAGAATTCTCTTGAACGGCTCAAGTTCAACTGGATAGTCTTTATCCTGTTGTGCAGTAGAGCTAGTTATCATGAAACTGATGAGTTGTTGGTTTTCATTAGATACTGCATCTGAGATTTCATTTCTGTACAGGGTTGAGGTGGTGTATTTTGGCTGAATAATCAATTTTCAGTCATTTCAAGAATCTCTTCTTAAACTTGCTAATATTTGCATAAATGGGAACCCCCCCAAAGACACCACATATTATGACTCTGTGCTATTTGCTTTAGTATGGTAAATAAGGATCCATGACTTGCACTTTAAATCTTAGCTATATCTTTTAACTGATTTGTCCTGCATATACTGGAATCGATTGCCCCAGTTTTTTAACATGTAACCGTAACCAAGATAAATGATTTGCTGTCCTTCATTCTACTGCAGAGAATGATTACAGAAGGATAAACTGGGGTCCTCTTTCCTTTGTGGGTCACTGTGTGCTTTGTTGTCAGCATGTTCCTTTTCTTTTTTTCTTTTTGACCTCACAACTGTATCTTCACACTGCATTTATATTACGTTCTGAACTTTGTTTTGCCAATACAGCAAAGTACTTGTTTCTACTGTATGTAGATACATCACTACAATCTTGTGGCTTGATTATTTGCTCACTTACACTGGTTTTACTTCAGTGCAACTCTACTAACTTCAGTGACTTTCCTCCTGATTTATAGTTGCATGCATGAGTAGAGAATTGGGCTCTTGGCCTCCATAGGCTGTTTTTCCTATTGACATGTGCTCAGTGTCCCAGCTAAATGAGTAGAGTTTGTCACTCACATTTTAGCATAGAAGAGGGAGTGTGTTTCCTTGTTATTCCCCATTTCTTTCAATGCTACTTCTCTCACTTTTTTCCCAACACGCTATCTTGGCAGGCTGATAACAGACTTTTCTATTCCCAAGGTTAAAAGCTGGGGCTGGGTTAAATTCTGTCTTGAAAACTATAGCTAGCTGATGCTTCTGGTCCTTTAAACTGGAGATAGATGTAAAACCACAGTGTTGCTTTATTTAGCTCTATGTTGATGGAAGTTGAGGCACGTGAGAAATCCAGGCCCTTGTAAACTGCGGTCCCGATGTCTAAAACTTGCAGTTTATGCAGGGTAATAACGCTTTCCTCTTCTGTCATCTGTTTTTCATTTTAAAAAAAAAACTGTACAAATATAGCTCTAGCTGCCTATGCTACAAATGCCAGATTTATTTTTAAGTTTTATTTCAAATCTCTAGGCTTATGAGAACATTCAGATTGGATGTATGCTTTTTTTATTTAAGGTTAGTAGGTCATAAATAAACCAAAGCACTTTCCTTGCTCTGAGCAATAGGGTCATAGTGTACATGAAATATCACTTTTAAAAAAAATAGGAACCTAACGTGAATTGACAGAGGTACACGAGGAAGTAGTTCATTGTGTCGCTGTAAAGGCCATAGGGATTTGGGCTGTTGAGGTTGTCTGTTTCAGGAATAGATTAGATTTCTTGTCTGATGACCTGCACTTAATTTAAGTGACTGCCTTTGCCAGTCCTTCCAGAGGGCAACTGTGTGAAATAGAGCATCTCATCTTCCGTCTCCAGTCCTTTTTTTTTTTTTTTCTCCTCTTGATGGCTGACCTAAATTGAAGATATTGGGGCGTGAGAGGGAAATGCTGCACAAACAGTTACTTTGCTTGTATGGCAGCAACAGTTCTATGCCTAATGAAAAGGCATCTATATCTTGACTTTTTTTTTTTTTTTTTAATGTAAGGAGAATGTTTAATGGCAGCAGCTAGATTTCACTGTTCGCTACGTCCTACTAATGTGTATCAGCTTCCCTAT